GGCGGCTGCCCCGGGCCCGAGCCGCCCGGCCGCGCCCCCGTTAGAGGCCCCGCGGCGCCGCGAAGGAACGGGACGGCCCGGGTCTCCCCAGTTTGCAAAGGGGAGGGCGGGGGGGGACGCCTGCTCCGAGCCTCCTTCCACGCGCGCACCGCCCCCCCGTGCCACCAAACTACGGGCTCGCACAGCCCCGGGCACTAGCACGTACGAGCGACTCCCCACCCGCGGCTTCAGCGCTTTTATTGTTCGGGCACCCCCGCGGGGTCAGCCCGCCCCCTCCAGGCAGCCCGGGACAACCGGAAAGCCGCTCTCTCCCCGCCCCCCACCCAGCACCAAACGCCAAATGACGTAATCACACGACCGCTACACCCTTACTCCCGGCTTTCTAGGGTGGCCAATCATTGAAGACTAAAGTGACACGTCACAAGGGGGGGTGAAGGTGCTATCTGCGCGAGACTTAGCGGCAGGCGGGAGGTTGGGTGTCCCCGGCGATTGCCCGCGGCTGCCGGCAGGGGGCAGCCTTGGCCCACGCTGGGCTGGGGTGCCGCGGGCTCCTGGGCTGGCAGGAGGGGAGTGGCGTGAAATCGGCGTGGACCGGGCTGCAGGGCTCAGTCCTGCGTGGGCGGGCGGGAGGCAGGGACACAGCCGCTGCTCGGCCTCTGTGCGCGTTTTGCAGGCGGCCGTGCTGGGGGCTGTGCACCTTTGCTAGTGCCAAACAGGCAGAAGTCGGCTTCCCCTTGGACATTTCCATAGCAGCTTTCTAGCCCCTGCGCTGGCATTGTTGGCACTACTGCATATAGCGATTCAGCTGCCCCTGCAGTGGGATGCATAAGCAGGCACGCATGGACTGGGCTTGCACAATAGGCTATGAATTGGCCCACTACATATACATACATATGCATAAATCCAGAGAAAGCCTGGAGGGGAGGGGGGCAGCAGATGCACCTGTGTTTTAACCCCAATAGCTGAATGTTTAGGGCCATAGGCAACACATGGGGGGAGGGCATGTGCCCCCCCCAAGATTGGCAACTGCCAAAGCTACTGCTGGCTTCTGCCGGTGGTCACCCTTTATCACCCCCCTCTGCTGCCAACAACGCCGCTGGTCTGCAAGCAGTCCTCACTCGCTGCCCACTGCTCACCACCCCTCTCTCCCCCCACCGCCGGCATCCATGGATGGTCCCTGCTGCCACCTACAAATGGTGCCCCCCAGTCTCGGGTGGCACCAGTTGTTCATGTTTAGGGCACTTACTCCGGATGCTGGAGACCTGGGTTTTAGGACCCACCTGCTACCCTCCTTTTGAGGGGGTTTGAAACTGTATTTCTCTGTCTTCCCACCAGAGTGCACTAACCACCACACTATGGGCCAGGTATCATCCAGACCCAGCTTCAGCAGCTGCCCCCTGAGTAGCTAAGAGAGGGAAATGCATAGGGCCAGAAGGAAGACAAGAAGGCAGAGTGTGTGCAGTTTGGAAAACAGGAGGGCCTGGGTTCCATCCTGGGCCCTTGCCTGCAATGGAGCAGAAGTTTCATTCCCTCCGTCTTACCCACTGCCAGTTAAATGAAAAGGGCAGAGTGATTCAACAGCACAAGGGAAATGAGAAACTGAGTTTCCCTGCTGCCTACAAGGTGAGAGTGATGCAATGGACTAAGAGACTGACACAACGTGGAGGATGTTCATTACAGCATTCCTGTTACCTTTTTGGTTTGGAGCCGCAAGGTAGAAAGCTTCCCTCGTGTTGTGTTTGGGGCTTGCATGACAGACACTATAGAATGAGTTCCCGCTACAGCTTGTCAGGCCAAGTCTTACTTACAAACTTGCTGTAAGATGTGTGTGCCCTGGAAAATTCAGGCCATTACTTTTCTCACGGTTTAGGATATTAGTTTACCAAGAAGTCCTCAGGGATTATTCTTCAAAACCTTGTCTCTTGGACTTGTCCAGAAGGTTGTCTCTCGGTGCCTCGCTGCACTTCCAAAGAGGAGGGAGCGTTCTTCAAGTACTGAGATGGATGAACTGGTTAACTGTATGGCAGACCCAATTATGTGGCAGAGCATGTAATGTGACAGCCGTTCCCAGAAAGGCTGCTGCGGATCATTGGAGTCCATGGAATCCTTTTTTTACTTCATATTTGGGATCAGCTGCTGAGTGGCCAGAATTATGGACATGATGCTTCTGGATTTTGTCGGACACTGGGGGACAATGGACCTTCCTCAGTAAGGAAGAATGGACTTGTTCTGAGTGTCCCTTTTAGTTTTTAATGCAGTACTACTTTTACGTTATTTATGGCAGAGCTGCCATCTGGCCTGTTCTCAGGCACGGCCTGCCTCACTTCAAGATTTAGCTCAAACACTTTGTGCAGTTATTCTGTTGACAATCAGATGATCAGGAAAATTAAATGTCTGTGAGAAACTCACCAGCTGCACCACAGAAGACAAGGATCAGAAGGAACTTCATGGTATGTCTGCAGGTAACACTGACTGCTATGAGGAGAGCACATACTGTGGAAATGTCATTCTGCATTATCCTTCTTGGAGAAACTTATCTCTCCACTCCTAGGGTAAGACCAGCTTGCTATTTTCCCAGGTGTTGCATCCAGCTGGGTAAATCTAGTTACCTTATCATATTAGGGAGGTCATGACTGGAAGTGCTTAAGTGACAGAAGCAACCTTTTTTCCTAAATGAAAATATGAAGGCCCACTTCCTAGTTTGACTCCAAAAGAGCTCTCTTTCTCAGCACTTAACATCATTTTCAGATGCTGAAGTCACTGAATGCAATCATATTCCATCTAGGAGAACAGCTGCAAAAGAACTGTTGCCTGGATCCTTTGTGTGTCTTCATTTGGGCCTGAAAAGTTCATAGAATCATAAAAAATTAGGGTTGGAAGGGACCTCAGGAAGTCATCTAGTCCAACCCCTGCTCAAAGGAGCACCATCCCCAACTAGATCATTCCAGCCAGGGCTTTGTCAAGCCTTAAAAACTCCAAGGATTGATATTCCACCACCTGTCTAAGTAGCCTGTTCCAGTGCTTTGCCATCCTCCTAGTGAGAAAGTTTCTTCTAATAGCCAACCGAAACCTCCCTTGCTGCAACCTGAGACCATTTTTCCCTGTTCTGTCATCTGTCACCACTGAGAACAGTTTAGCTCCATCCTCTTTGGAACCAACTTCACGTAGTTAAAGGCTGCTATCAAATACCCGCTCAGTCTTCTCTTTTGCAGATTAAACAAACCCAGTACCCTCAGCCTTTTCTTATAGTTCATGTGCCCTGGCCCTCCAAACCATTTCTGTTGCTCTCTGTTGGAATATCTCCAACTTGTCCACATCTTTTCTGTAGTGGGGGGCCCAAAACTGGACACAGTACTCCAGATGTGGCCTCATCAATACAGAATAGAGACAAATAATTACTTCCCTTGCTCTGCTGGCAACATATGCTGTTAGCCTTCTCAGCAACAAAGGCACACTGTTGACTTATATCCAGCTTATTGTCCACTATAACCCTCAGGTCCTTTTATGCAGAGCTGATGCCAGGCAGTCAGTCCCCAGCCTGTACCAGTGCATGGTACTCTTTTGTCCTAAGTGCAGGATTTTGAACTTGTCCTTGTTGAACCTCATGAGATTTTTTTTGGCCCAATCATCCAGTTTGTCTAGGTCACTCTGAATCCTAGCCTACCTTCCAGCATACCTACTATTCCCCCCAGCTTGGTGTCATCTGCAAACTTGCTGAGGGTGCCCTCCATCCCATCTTCCAAATCATTAATGAAGATATTGAACAAAACTTGACCCAGGACTGATCCCTGGGGCACTCCACTTGATACTGGCTGCCAGCTAGCCATTGACTCACTGATTCCTACGCACTGAATCTGACAATCTGGTCAGCTTTGTATCCACCTTTCAGCCCATTCATCCAACCCATACTTCTTCAGCTTGCTTGCAAATTCTGTAGGTGACTAGATTTGCTTTGCTGAATATGTTCAGATGAGACCCAGAAATGTTATCTAGGATCTACCATCACTTGAGGACCCCTGCAAAACCTGCATAGTGTCTAATAGTTACTGTGAAGGGTTTTGTATGACCAAGGATTGAGGAACTACCCATGTTTCTATCTATCTATCTATCTATCTACCTACTGATTTATGCCTTTTCATGGTGGAATACAATTAAAACTGAGCTGTCAGACCAGCTGTTCTGGATCACTTCTGAGCATCTGTAGATGGTTAAACATAGTCACATTGTGCTAAAACCTGTTTCAACCTTAGACACCTAAGTGGCACTTTCATAGCCATGTAACTGCACCTTTTGGCCCTTTCTCCCATTTTGGATTTTGCAAATGTTCAGGAAGCTGACTCTAGTTGCATAGGTTCCTGATAGAAAGAGGATACAGTACTCCCTTGGACTCTCCTAGGACACTCAGACACTCCTATTTCATGCCAAACAGAAATAGACTCTATCTTCCTCAAAGCTACCAAAATGGCTACAAAGCAGTGTGTAGTTTCATAAAGATGAAATAGGGTTTGGTTCCTAGAACCCCTAACATGAATGAAGAAGTGAGAGAAGGGCTACATAGTGTCCTGCCCATAGGAAGATATGGGAATCGGTGTTTGAAGGAGGTTTTTAGAGGAAAGAGGGGCATGCAGGGAGTCTTTTATATGTGTGCAGGCCTTTTTAGCCAATTACAGCAACAGAATGTATAACTGTTAAGGATACTTTTATTTGCACTGTTCTCTTTACAAAGGTGAATAGATAAGGAGGAAGGGAAGTAGTCCAAGAAAACCAAAGGGAGAAGGATGATTCAGTTATTGGCGATGGTGTCCTCAATCCAGGTAACTTATTTGCAGATCTTGGTGTAGACACCTGGGTAACCCTTCTGAGCACAGTCCATCCCCCAGGACATGATCCCTTGGAGCTCCCCGTTGCACATGGCTGGGCCACCAGTATCACCCTGTGAGGTAGAGACTTGTGGGGGTTACAAGCACATGCTGACTCAGGCAGCTGTACTATGAATCGAAGCCAGGAAGCTTCCCCACCCAGCTCTGAGAGCACCGGGCAAGGAGTCTGCAGGCTCCACCATGTTTGAGTTGGGAAGAGGGTGAGGTAAGAAATACCTCCTCTTTCAGGTGACTGCCCCTACACCCCTTTCTCTCCCCACACTGGAAGTGACTCAATCTACAATTTTGGCTGAAAAGTCCTGTATATCCAATTCCTGCTGATCTGAGACTGGGGAGGACTGAACACCTGGATGTAGTACTCAAAACTCCTCACACCTCAGTCTCTGCTCTCTCAATGCTATTCGTCATGGATTGGAAATGGTCTCCCACAGGTGGGAAGGCTTGCATTCACTCCTGAATCCTGAGATACCTGGCACACTCAGTGGAAACTGAGGGGCTGGAACAGCTTCTTCCCCTCAGTGCAGAGAGTGAAAAAGAGACCCTCACCTGGCAGGAGTCTTTGCCACCTTCCAAGAATCCTATGCGCATCATATTGCTGGTGATTTGCCCTGGGTAAATACTGCTGCACTGGATGTCAGGCAGGATTGGAGCCCACAGGCACTGGAGAAGATCAGGGTAGTTGGCTACCAGGAAAGGGGAGAAAATTAGCTGTCACCATAGTGATTCAGAAGTCCCATTAGTGTAAAATGGTAGATATCTGGCCTAGAGAATCCAACAACATAGAAGGAAGTGAGGGATGTTGGCCTGTCTTTGGGATCCTCACACACTTCTCCTATGATTGCATCAGGAAAAACATGGTTTATTTCAAGGCAGGACTGAGGGGTTTCAACACAAGGATTGTGTGGGCAGGCCAGTCTTGGCATAATATGGATGCTACCAGGTGGGACTGATATGTATGGTTGTCCCATGCCAGAATAATGGGAAGGGACTGTGTGTTATATGGACAGCACACTCATGCTCACAGCCATTGCTAAGGGTGTTTCCTCACTGGGAAATTAAGCATGAGATCCCATCTCCTGGACAGCCTGTAGGCAGAGGGATGGTCGCAACAAAATTGTTCAGTCTGGCTGGGGATGCCAATTTGATCAGCATGATGTCATTGTCCGAGTTGTATTGGTCATGTCGAATGATTTTTTCAGCATTGATGATCTGCTCAGTCTGTTTCTGCATGCTGATGTCATGCTCCCCCAGCCTTACTTGGATTTGGCTGTAAAATCAACAGTGCAACAGAGCAGCAGTTAACCACAGATAAAATGGTGGGGATGTTTCATAGGCAGTGCCATGGAGTTTGCACATGGGGGAGTACAGATATTTGGACTCCACTGCTGAGCTCTAAGGAAGTAGATCTGATGGGGTCGCCTAGCTTGATTCTAGCCTGAGGATTGTGGAGGGAAGCTCAGTGCTGCCTCATTTTCTGGTGATGTGTCCTGCATAATGAGGGTGCTGAAAAATCCCTAACTTGCTACTGCTGCCTTCCCCTCTCCAGAGTCCACTCAGCATCTTCTGTGGCACATGCAACTGGCTAAGCTCACTGGGCCTTTAATACCCCAAGGAATGGTGATTTGCTCCTTGTTCCTTAAGGCTTGGGGAGGAGGAATGAGAGACCAGATTTTGTTGGCAACTCTCACCTGAAATCCATTCTTTGAAACATGGGACCTTGGCCAAAATGAAGCACTATTATGAGTGACCCTGGATACTGGAGTGCAGACGTGGCCTTTCTGTATGGAGTTGGCATGTGCTTGTGTGCAAGTATGTATCTGCATAGATAAAGGGACCAGCTCACTTGCCTCAGAGGAACACAACCACCCCTGGGGAAATCTGGGGTAGGTGTGCAGACAGACACAGGAGTGAGTTTTAACAGGTTACGTTGGGAAATGGAGAGATTGAGAATGAAACCAACTGGAAATCCTGGGGGAACCAAAGGGGGAGGAAACATAACAATTTCACCATGGCCTGTGTTGGGGGACAGTGGATGCAAATGCAGAGAACAACATCTTGGGACCTGCAGTGGTTGGGAATGGAGAAAAGCAGCTAGCTGGCACAGTGCTGGGACCCTGGAAGGGAAAGAGGAGTGGGGATACAGGGCACTGTCGTCTTCTGCATCACCCTCACCACATCCTGCCACAGTGGCATTCTCTGTTGCTCTGGCCCCAGGTCCTGGCCAGGTTCAACTTTAACTTGTGAGTTCCAGCTATTCTCACCTACAGGTGCAAGGGGCTGGATCGAATGTGATCTTCATCACTCACAAATTGTGGCACTGAGCAGCCAACACAACCCACTGTTTGGTGATGACAGCACCTCCACAGAAGTTCCCAGAATTCAAGAACACTTGGTAAGGGACAGAGCCCTTCTGACAGGTGTAGCCTCCCACAATCCTGTCATCATTGTAGTCACCAGGGACGGCAACTGAGGGAAATAGGGAAAGTCAGTGCTAACACCATAGTTCAGAGCACAGTGGCCAGAAAAGCAGCAGCACTCAGTGAAGTACCAGGGACTTGGCAATAACCAAAGGGTTTGTACTTCAGGCAGCCCCTGCACATTTCTGAGGGCTCCCTGGAATTGTCTCTGTTTTGTGTCTTAGGGCACTTGTACACACCGCAATCTTTCTTGCTTACTCTGCCGCAACTGCATTTGTGTTTGCACAAACAAGATTTTCCGCTGCTTTAAAAGTCTTTTCAGCCCGTTAAACTAAAGCTGCTTGGATGTATTTTATTTTGTGGTGCCGCCACCGTGTATGCCACCCTATCTTTGGATTCGTGTTATGCAAACACTAAGCAACTCAAAGACTTGTAACTACTTTCCTTTGCCACCAGGTGGTACTGTGCTATTTCTGTAGTGGCCAGTAGGTGTTGCTGCTAGTTAATTTTTTTTCATCCTGCCCATCCATGCCTCCCTCCCCTGCTCCCACAGCTGACCGCAGGCATCCAGAGCACAGTGTGGGGGCACAGAATAATCAATAAAGAGAAATGGAGTAGCAGCCCATATTGTGAAGTTCTGTGATGGTATTTACTACCCTCTGGCATTTTTGTATCTACCTCCACCAGGGGTACTGTATGTGCTCCACGTGCCCATGTCCCCCCCACCGGTACACCCTGCCCGCTGCGCCCACCACGGTGTTCAGCACTGCCAAGCGCAGCGGCATCACCAGAATGGTAAGTCTGCAACTACTGTTTGGAAAGTGGGCACTGCCTGCCAGATATCCCAGGATATGCAGCATTCCTGGTGATATATAGGTAATATCAGAAATGTCCCATGACCGTGGGAGGGGGGATGGGTCTGCAGGCAGTGTTTGGACTTTTGTTGGTTCAAAACCCCATTCTTCTTGTTTCTTCCCTTCCCCGCAGAACACTTCGGAGATCCGAAATTAAAAATTTTCAGCATTAAGGAAAGCATGAATCAACACCACCCATTAGAAGCAACTTGTTTTCGTTAAATAGGACTTTTTGTACCTTTTTCTATTTTTCTATTAATTTAACAAATTTTGAAATTTTCTTTAATTAACTTTTTATCTATAATTTTTTTTTTTAAATAATGCCTTTTATGATAGAAAAATATTGTAATTGCATCTCATTTTTCAAATAAAGATTTGAAAGTGTGTCAGTTGTGTGGCATATTTTCTTTCAAAGGCAGATTGGCAGTCTGTGCGGTTCGGGGGTAGGTGACGTGGATTGGGAGATGTGATGACCATGCCTGCCTATCTCAGTGTGGGGATCCTTTGCTTGTGTGGGTTTATCTCAGTGATGGCTTTACTAGAAAGAGTTGCAGGGTGGACTGTTATGGGAGGTCAAATGCTTGTTTTATCCCCAATCCCAACGCACAGCATTCCTGGCAAGCCGATGGCACAGCAACTTTTTTTGAGAGGCAAACCCCCCCCACACACAGAATACCCCATCCCAAGCCCAACAGGCCAGCTGCAGTACTGGGGCAGGCATGAGAGAGCCTTCTTTAACATTTGAAAGCATGCAATTAGCAACTCTTCCAAGCCTAATGCTTGGGTACGGTGGGTCAGCTGTGTGCACATATGTGGGTCAGCTGTGTGCACATATTCAAGATAGTTTCACAAAAGACAGGAGTCACATGAATCATTCTCTTTTGACAATCCTATAATGATTTTTATTTACCCTTTTTTTTTCTTTTCAATACTAAAACCATGACAAAGTTACATTCATATGAATCCAAGCATTCACTGAGAAACCACCCACGTGCCCATGTGGGGCAGAGACAAAAAAATAACACAAAAAATAACATTCACAATTTCAGAACTTAATAGCTAGCATTGACTACTTGCAATATTTCTACTAAGAGCATAAGAGATTATTTTTCTTTGTGTTCTTTGATTTTGTTTGCATTTTTTTGAGTGAGGGAGGAAGTGTAATATTTAGGGCTATGCAAAGCTTCAGTCACTGATTCAATTCGGCAGAAATTCGGTCCGATTTAGTGGCTGAATCTCTGAATCTGAATCAAATCAGAGGGCCTTTTAATTTCTCCAGATCAAATCAGAACCCTCTGAGTCTATCTGGAGAGATTCAAAAAGATTCGGAGATTCGGGCATAGACACAGCTTTAAATGATTTTTTTACATACCTCTAGGCAGAAGGGGCTTGCGATCGCTGCGATGCTGGGGTGCATGGAGTGTCTCAGAGGAGTGCAGGGTGCTCCCCAGTGCGCTTGGCAGCAGATCCGGAAGTGGACCAAAAGCATTTCTGGTCTACTTCCAGGTCCACCGGGGAGTGTGCTGGGGGGCCCCCCTGTGCTCCCCAAGCTCAGTGACTGGTGCCTCCTGGGTCTGGGGGGGCACCCAGGGTCCCCCTGCGGCCAATTGCTGAGCCAGGGATGTGCAGGGGGCACGTGCTCCCCGGCAGAACTGGAAGTGGACTGAAATTACTTCTGGTCCACTTCTGGGTTTACCACTGAGCACGTGGAGGGCCCCCTCCACACTCCTATGGGATGCTCCATGTATCCCAGCATTGCAGCATTCACAAGCCGCACTGCTCCTTCAAGGTATGTAGAAAAAACTTTTAAAGCTGTGTCTATGTCCGAATCACTGATTCCCTGAATCAACATCAAATCTTCAGATTCAGATTCAGCTGAATCAAATCGGGGACACTGATCTGAATCAATGAATCAAATCACTGTCCCTGATCCGGGATGAATCCAAATCCGAATCGAATAGGGCCCACTTTGCATACCCCTAGTAATACTGTATAGTGTTTATAGTTTATGGAACAGTAAAGTTAAAGTGTAGACAAGAGCCACCAGCATATGGTATTGTACACGTATTGTATAGCTACTTTATAGATAATGTAAATAAACAATGCTGTATAGGTTTTGGGGAGAAAAATCCCATTTTTTTCTACATTTTGTCTATTTTCCTATTTTTTAAAATTTTCTTTATTATTTAAATCTTTTTTAAATTATTCCTTTTTTGATTAAAAAAAATGAGAGATTTCATAGATTTCATAGACATTAGGGCTGAAGGGACCTCGGAAGATCATCGAGTCCAGCCCCCCACCCAAAGGGCAGGAAGTCAGCTGGGGTCACAGGATCCCAGCAAGATAAGCATCCAATTTACTCTTGAAGGTGTTCAGAGTAGGTGCTTGAACCGCCGCCGATGGCAGGCTGCTCCAGACCTTGGGAGCTCGGACAGTAAAGAAATTCTTCCTTATGTCCAGCCTGAAACGGTCTTGCAGTAGTTTATAACTGTTCGACCTCATCATCCCTTGGGGTGCTCTGGTGAACCAACATTCCCCCAGATACTGGTGGTCACCCCTGATAAACTTATAAGTGGCCATCAGATCATTTAAGTGCACCACATTTTTGTAAGAAAGATTTGAAATTGTGTCTATATGCATGGCATGTTTTCTTTCATAGGCAGATTGGCATGCATCAGTCCGTGCAGTTTGGGGGTGGGTGGGTTGGGAGACAATGTGATCACCGCGCCCCTGCTGCCTGCCTCAGCATAGGGCTCCTTTGCTTGGGGGCATTTATGGAGTGATGGCATTACTGGAAAGAGTTGGACTGTTATGGGAGGTCCAATTCTTTTTTTACCGCCAATCCCAATATACAGCAATCCTGGCAAGTCTTCTTGCAATCCTGCAGCACCTCTTGGCAAGCAACAGTTGTCCTCCCCGCAACCATCCACTGTAGAACCTGATAGACAGACAAGAAGAAAAAGCAGCAAGTGGCAATACTGGGTCAGGCACGCATGGAAGAGGCTTCCTTAACATTTGAATGACAGCAACTCTTCTGTGTAATGGTTGGCTTTTTTTTTTCCCATCACTTCCAAAACACCCTTCCCCCCCTACCCCATGTGTGGTGCTTTGAGACTGGCAGCGGTTGTGGGAGGGTTCATTACACACCTAGCCATCCTGAATCATGTCCTGTGGGTGGAAGGGTTAAGTATGCCTCTCGTTGGCCAGCTGTAGGGAGGGGTGTTGAGCGGGCAGTGGGCAGGTGAATGGGGACCCAGTGAACTGCCTGCAGCGGGAGCCTGCCTTAGGAGTGTGGCCAGGGAGGAGAGGGGAGGGGGGGTCATATTCCCCCCCAAGCCCAACAACAACCCAGCATTTCAAAAGCATTTCATAACACCCCTCCAAAAGTTGCATGTTGAACTAAACAAATAGATTCACGGTGGAACGTGGGCAGGGAAGGGGAGCAGTGGAATGCAGCCCCATTGCCATATCCCCATGGATGTTCCAAGCTGGCAGCTTGGGAATGCTGGGAAACGTAGTCCTAAAAAGCCAGAAAAGTAAGAGCTTGCCACCACCCACCACCATCAGCTGCAATCACCAACCACCTGGGGTGGCAACACCCACCCGCTACTCTCAACCCTGTACATTTCTGATATCATATGGTAAATTAATGAGGATCAAACACTGTGGCATGTACAAACATCCTTAATGCCCACCAACACAGATGGCTTTTGTCCAGTATTTTTCTGGCTCAGGAAGCAAACAAGATTGGGGCTCAACAGTGTTGCTCCTTTGTTAGGAAAGAGGTGCTAGACGTTCCTGTCAGGCCTTAAATCCTTCAAGTCCCCAAAGAGCTTTACAAATATCAAGTTTATAGTAGCAATGTCACCTAACACTGACATGCTTGCTACCCCCTTCATCATTGGGGAGAGAATAAGAGAAACAGCACACATCAGTTTAGAGAAGGAAAAAAAAGACAATGATTCAGTCCTATTGATACTACCCCCTCAGCTTTTCCCCTTGGCTGTGAAAAGAGGGGGACAGAAGCCGAGTGAAAAGCAGTGCGAGGGTGGGGGTTCTCATTTTCTCTGCCTGCCCAGAGGGCAACAGACAGGCATGTCTGTTCTCATGGTGACCTCTCACAGCAAGAGTTGGTACTGGGGTTTTTTTTGACCCTCAGATACACAAGTTACTCTGCATAGATGAGTGAATCCTGGGTTGCACTCAGTGGGGCACAGACAGGTGTTTTGGGTCTTTTTCCTATGCTGCCAGGAACTTATGTACTCAGATCCAATGCACCATGAGAGGGCCTCCAAGTTGAGTTCTGCCAGAGCCTAATTTGGGAAAATGGACACAGAATGAGTACTAGGATGGTTTCTTCTGAACGTTTGCCCTGTCTCTGTCCTGACTGTGCTGCTCCTGGGTCTTGGCTTGATGTTCTGTCTCAATAAATATAAGCAGAGAGAGTGACCAACCAGAAAGAGGCAAGAAATTGCAGGAAGAGGCAGAAATAGAGACAGAAAGGAGCCTAGAATTACAGAAAGCCACAGTTTAAAACTTAGTCCTGCTGAGCACTGAGGACAAGTAGGATCTGGAGGGTAAAATGGGTTTGGGAAACTCATCGGCTGCTCCCAGTAAGTTGAGAAACAGGAGGAACTTCATGTTCCAGTAGCACTGTCTGATGTGAGAACATGTCCTGTCAGACCAACCTGGTGGCCTTTTACGACCAGGTCACTAAATCATTGGATGCAGGGGTGGCAGTGGATATAGTTTTCCTAGACTTCAGGAAGGCTTTTGATACTGTCTCTCACCCCATTCTCATTAGGAAGCTGGGGGACTGTGGC